TTTTTTTTTTTTTTTTTTTTTTTTTTTCTTTCAAAATCAACATATTAATTTCTTAACAAAGTTATCTCCCTTTGTTCAAATTCTAAACCAAATTTGATTTTTTTTTATTTTTTTAATGTTAGGAAAGAATCAATATATTAATTTCAGAAGGTTGGACTCCCATGTCTAATATTCTCAAACTATAGGATGCAAATATATCTCAAATTAGATAGAAATAGAAAAGATCTTCCATGTAAAAGTGCACATGGGATTGTTTTTAAACTGTGTTAAAAGAAAAAATTATCCAAGTGGATAATATCACTATTATAGAGATATGAAGAGACTTTTTATCTTAATATATAATATAAGAGTCATGTTCCAGTATTTATGTAAATAAGAGCTTAAAAATGTAACAAAAAGTTTTTAATAAATCCTATGATGTAGACCAAAATATTCATGCTAAATGTTAAAGTTCGAGACTCAATATAATTATTGATAATGTTTAAAGACAAGCTTAAGAATTTTTTGTTCGTTGAGAATACAAATATAATATACTCTTATTGAAAAAGTAATTAATTTTTTTTTGCTAGTTGTGCTTTTAAGATAAAGTAAGTAGGGGTGTACATTCAACCCAACAACCCAAACCAACCCAACCCGAACTATAAGGATTGAGCAGGTTGGGTTGGGTTGGATTAGCTTTTCGGGTTGGTTTGAGTTCATTTTTCTGAACCCGAACTAACTCGGTTTGGTTTTGGGTTCATGGGACAAAACCCTCAGACTGATTCGAGCCAAATAGAAAATAAAAATATAAAAAATATACTAAGAAGTTTACATTAAATTTGTCAGAGTGGTATTTTGTCTCAACTTAAAACACTCACACTTTGAGTTCAACACTAATTGATGTGTAAATGTTGCATGAATCAACAAATTATTGATGCGTTTGAAGATACCTTATTATCATATAAATTATTTATTATTTTTTTTTCCAGTTAAGTTGGAACTCTTTTAGATAATGGTGCAGATGTTTTATTGATATATCATACACCAACTAATACGTGATTCAATAACATATTCAAATATATAGTTCACATTATTGTGTCATCTTAAAAAAATTGACAAAAGAAGACCCAATACAAATAAGCCACCAACCATTTGTACATCCCGCTTAAATTAATCATCGAAATAAGATATAGAACTATATGAACACATATTATTATAATAGATTATACATAAAAATAATTAAAACCATGAGGTAAGTTATGTAGTTCTATTAACATACTAGCATACTATGAATTTCTATTCTCTTAGAAAAGGACTTTACGAAAAAGAAACATAACATTTATCAACATCAATATCAATGTAATATCAATGTAACTCAGCAATAACTGACATTTACTCGTTCTCTTAAAAATAGAAGTTCAAATCTTCCTGCCACGTGTATTTGTAATCCCGGATTATGGATTACTTCATAAAGTTCTCATTAGATATAAAAGGCTGAAGTACACAAACTATTAAGTCAGTAAATTTCAATATCACCTCCAATAACTAACCACTATTGACAAACATTTTTAACAGCAATTCCATGTAAAATGTAATATCAAAACACAAATATCTTTCATATTCCTTCAGTCAGCACAACAACATAGACATGATCCTATATTTCAAAACTCTTGCAAGAAATGTCTGCCATGGTAGAATCACCATGGAAACAAACACATTCTTTGCTTCTCCTGTTGCCTAATGCATGCACATAGTCTAACTGGGCTCAGAAGGGAAGCACAGTGCAATAAAATCAAACATCAAGAAACGACTTTACTTGAACAATGTTCTCTATAGATTGTATATCGTAATTTCGTTCGGTGTCGAATGGCGTACCTTTACAAAAATGCTGAAGTACTTGAACAGTAATTCTCAGAATATAAGATTATTGACAAATCCAATAAATACGTAAGCTTCATATCTAGCACAGAACCCTCACATGAACAACTTGAGATGCAATTATTCATAAACAACCACGAATAGGAATATGACGGTGAAATAATAGAATGTAGGGTCTGGTTCACTCCACTATTATTGGTCTACAGGGAACAAACCTTCTGAACTTTGAACGCGAAGGAGAATTAGGCAAGATTGATTGTGAAGGAGACATATGGATGTGCATCAGAGTCTCCCCCCAGACCAGCCATCGCTCCTCCCACTTCATCTTCAGTTTTCCAATATATACTGCACAACCAAAATTCTAAATTGTTAAAATACTTGCATCATAAACAGCCACAAAATGCATTCCATATACACAAAATCCATAGCACATGGAAACAGAGACAAGCTTTCTTCCCGTGTTTTGAGTTCAACAATGGCAGAGGTAAGGATCAAGGTCCTCAAATCCGAAAATATAATAAGTGTCTTAACCATTGAGTTATATTCAGATTCGCAACATAGAGACAAGCTGGTAGGACACAAATATAGCAAGGACATGTTTAGCCAAATATATGCTTAAACCCTACTTTAGTCCCTAAATTTACATTTCTGGTAAAAAAAAATTGTACATTTAATAGAAACCTTAGACTACTTGTTTCCAGACCCAGTATAAATAACTCCATATCTTGGAACAATAGAAATATAAAATTATGTTGAGTTTAATCTTTTTTCACTCGAAATTGATCTTTTTATATTCTATATTTATGTTTACGCCCAATAATTTCTTAAATAAGAAAGAAATCATCAATAATCAAGTCCAGAATGATAAGAGTATCCAACAAGTATGGGGATACACCACCCAGGTCATGATTCATAGAGTAGGACGGTTCAATGAACCTTAATAGATGCTATCAAGCTTCAGAAAGCACAAATAAGGTGAACTCAATATTCAAATAGGCAATTTAGTTCACTAGTGTTATAACAGAGAAGGCATAAACTTAATAGGGTCTGTTTGATAACATTATTTTACCATTTTCTTCCAAGTTTTCTAAGTTCAAAAAATAAACTTACCAATAGTTTCTTTCTATTATGAACTTTTCAAAATATTCTTGAAGTTCTAGACAAACTTTAAAATTTTGAAAGAGTGCTGTTTGGGAGATTGTTTTAAACTAGTTTTGTATTTTTCAGGACAAAAATAAATGTTTAACTGAATAATAAAAATTGCTTTTTCTTAGTCTTAACCTATTTTCTAGAACTATTTTTTTTTTCTCCATTTTAAAGTCATGTACATATATGAATCGTGATTTTGAAAGGCATAATACTCAACCTTTAGAAACCACCTGTTAACATCTAATCATAGAGCTCAAAAATTGATTTGATAAGCACAAAAATGTTTTGGATATAGTTTTAAAAACTTACTTTTTGTTTATGAATTTTGGCTAAGGTTGTAAAAATTTCTTAAAGATAGGTGACAAAACAAAAAGATGTTAGTAAACAAACTTATCATTTGAAAACAGAAAACTAAAAGTGGATAATAATTTCACTTTTAGTTTCCTGTTTTCTTAAATTATGTTTGTTTCCTCTCAATTTCTCTATTATGGTTTTCATCAATCTTAAAGAAACAATTGAATTCCTAGTCAAATTTTAAAAACAAAAACAAGTTTAAGAAACAACTTTTTTTCAGTTTTCAAAACTGA